GCTAAAATTACGTCAGATGAAAGTAAAAAGGGAGATCAGGTCACGTCATTTAAGCTAAAAAGGAAATGGTAAAATTTTAACTCTCGCCCTGATATCCTATGACAATAAAGCAACCCCAAAATAGTGTAACAAGGCACTAAAGGTCCTTTTTAATAAAAAGCTCAGACTCGATTTCGACGGTCCCAATAATGGTTTTGGCATGAAATCGACGACTTAATCCATATGGGAAAACAATTGACAGAAAATCACGAAAAAACGATGTCCGCTTTGCAAGGAAACACAAGTGCTGAGGTTATTGGATATAGATTGGCACCTGGAGCGGTTACTACGGTTTACAGTTGCGTCAAGTAACTAAACTTGGCAACAATATTTCAAGAAAAACACTCGAGGAAAAACCTACGTCATAGAAGTAAATAATGCAGAGATTAAGCGAAGGCCACAGTGGAAATATTAATTCCAGCACACAAGAAGAGTATTAAAACAAGGAAGCAGAGCAGATTAAGTGGAATACAAATGACAAATGAAATGGATGCCACTACCGTTCCATGGCCGCAAGCTGAAGCTCAGCATCTTGGTGAATCCACTGGGAAGGCCTCAGCTCATTTCCGGGGTGGTGCCAAGAAGGTCAACATTTCGGTTTCCTCTATTGAGGCCCCATGTTCGTAGTTGGTGTGAGCCATGAGAAGCACTACTCCGCCAATGAAGGTTGTGTCCAACGCTTCCTGCACTGCCAATTGTCTAACTGTGCTTGCCAAAGTCACAGACGATAATTTCAGCAGCGTTAAAGGTCTCATGACTACTGTGCATTTCTACACTGCAAAACAGAAGATTGTTGATGGTTCCTTTAAGGTTTGGCGAGATGGACGCACTGCTACTCAGAACATCATTACTACCTCCACTGGCGCCGCAAAGGCTGTTGTAAGGTCATTCCTGAGCTGAACGGCAAGCTTACCGTCATGGCTTTTCATACACCAATTTTAAATGCCCCCGTTGCAAGTTGTGTAAGTCACCCATCTACAACCAGATCAAGGCTGTCGTCAAGATCGTCTCTAAATCACCTACCCTAAAGGAACTTTTAGCATACACTGAGAACCAGGTTGTCAGCACTGACCTGCTCTCCTGTTGCTTGACTAGTTTGTCTTGTCTTCCATCCCAATCCCATTAACGGTTATTGATAAGAGGGATGAGGTGGGATGAGATGATTGTGGCAATATATCGACTAAGGTTGAGGGAACGTCAAGAGGTTTACACTGAGACATGTCCCCGGCTATTATTCTCAGTGCCGCTTCTTCTTCATCACTATTACTCTCGCTTTCGTCTAAAATGACCTCATTTTAGCCGATCTGAATATGTTGGATTCTACTAAAGATGTGGCTCTCGGGGAGACCACGGAGTAATCTAAAAGCTACATCAACATTTCACCTAAATTCAAGGTGACGGAAACGGTTGGGCATACAGGAAAGCTTCAGTAATCACGGATTTCCTACGAATCTCACGTGGCGTATTTCAGCATATAGACTCCACACTCCCTCAATCTCTGCCAATTTATAACCGCGTTTGCCTTGTGGCAACCATTCCTTCAATAATACTTGCGTCATTTGTGGTGGAAATGTCCAGATGACAGGATTAACTAGTCAAATCAATCCAAATTTATTTTACACTAATCGGAAATGCCTAAACCTCACGTCGGGACATCCCTCCTCTACGACATACCTTGAAACATTCAAGTATAAATGGATACTTCTTTGCCTCTGCTAACTACTACACTTGACGCTGAATCTCACAACCTTCACTTTGCTCAGTCAGAAGACGCGTCATACATACAATCGCATTCGATAAAGTGCTGACAATCGAATTATTAAAAATGAAATACATGTGGAATATCGGACGTACCATAATCGAGCGAAGTGCATTGAACAGTTCTCCATTTCATCCATGTGGACAGATTTGTATGCAATGCTTGCAGAATGATCGAATAAAACACTCTACCAGGCAGCTCTTCGTCCAGAATGAACCTTGATCCCTCATGCCTATCGTTTTCACGAAGGCCCAAAAACAAAAGGGCTTTTGCATTCTGTACTGATTCCCTTTGTCCAACTCACCGAAATTCTACCTACTGATGATGAATCCCTATGGTAGGAGTAAAATCTCACCACTATCCAATGAGAAACCCAGCTGTAGAATGTGTGTAAACTAAGCGTAGATTTTGGATGCTAAAGATTTATAATGTCGAGAATATCTTGCAATAATGCCCCTACCAACAACTCAACAACTTTACATAGAAATACCTTTGTACCACCTTGTGCTAGAAAGAAGGCCAGGCTGAGTCTGGCGTACCGGATACGTCGTGAGCTACCCCATCTCACAATTGCCTCTTCATGCCATTTGGAATGCTGGGACTTGCGTCCGACAAACCGAACGAAGCGCAGAAGCAAAAGCATTTCAATATACGAGGTTTGTGCTCACTATCGACGAAGTAAACGCCTTTCTGATGCTAAAGGAACGATAGTAGATAAGCATGAACGTAGACCCAATGAGCGTGTGCGTAGCCGCGGTCCAATGATTTGTGATGTGCAAAACGTGCTTGACCGCATTGCTGCTGCAATGGTTGAAGCCATGGGTGCAGTGTGAGGGCAATGGAGTGTGCTAGTGGAGAGGTTTAATCAACTACTATCAAGTGGCAACATAGTGGCACTGGGGCTGTGCAAGTCACAAGGTCTACTTATTCCGTTCGCTGAAGGAGGACCTGCGGAAACTTTGCCCGCATGTATTTAGCTGATGATATGGGTGTGGCGTCACTTGCAGTTTTCAACTGCGACACATGTGAGGCGGATTCCGAGGCATTTAATCTCAGACGGGCTACAAAATCTGCCCCACTACTCGTACCTCCATCTAAGAAAGGTATAAAAAATAAAGGGATCATAAGCACTTTGTGCGACAGCAAAAGCAGAGGATAGAGGAATTTCGCAAAAATGTCAAAGCTCTCAAGTTTTCAGGGACGAAAGAAATAAATGAAAATGAATAAGCAGTAAACGTTATCCACTACGCACAGTAAAACAAGTGAGCGCAACGGCGAAATGTGAGAGGAAGAATTGCGTAATGGAATGCTGGATTGCCACTAGTGTCACCATGAAATAAGTTAGTGTGTGTGGGTTTGCCTTTGATGACATTTTCAATGATCCATCCTCACTCCCAGCTCACTTCCTCATGGACTAAAGGGTGTGTTCACGTCACTGACCGC